GGTTTTGTACCCACAGGCCCCTTCTGTGTTTTCTTAAGAACCTAAAGTTTCCAAAAGCTATTTACTGTTAGACAGTAACCTGAAAGCAGTCTCAGTATCCACTCTTCCCAGTAATCTTTTAAAAAATCCCTGAGAAAAGATTAGTAAGTCTTACCACCAGGTGGTCAGTAACTTTGTCCACTCTAGATTTGGGGGTACAAAGGTCACAGGGGAGAGAATTAAGCAGAAATAAATGTTTATACATATTTGACATTAACATAACCACACATATGTGCCATGGGGATAAATGTTCATATGCAGCGGTCCTGTAAGGAGTGTATTTCAGCAGGCAGCAGACAGCAAGAGACAGCAAACCATCCCTGAACATGTTTCCCCCATTTTGCCAAGAAACATTCTTTTTTTATCCCTTTTTATAATCTGACCTGTTCCATGTTCTGGCAGAGAGCCCTAGGAAGGCAAGCACTGCCTTTTCTGTCCATATTCTAATCTAAGATGGAAAAAGGAAGGGGGAGCAAGAGGAGGCGAGTGGGGGCTGAGGAGGGTGCAACTGACTTAGGGAAACAGAGGCAGAGATGGAGGAGGGAAAGAAGAGAGTGAGAAAAGGAGAGAAACTGGAAAGGAGAAGGGGTGAGCAGGAGAGAGAAAGCAAACCATGAATTTTAAATTAATTTAATGTGTCCACACTGGGCAAAACTGATTTGAGGAGTGTGAGAGTAATAAAAAACAAACAGGATAAATTCCAGAATGATCATCCAGCAAGAACGTGCCCCAGAAACCATAATCATGGTATCCTTGAACAAATCACACTAGTAATTTATACACTCTTTAGACTCCCTTAGTGCTTAACAACTGATGAAATATCGTTTCTGGGGAGTCAGGCTTGTGTTTAATTTTCAGGAATGAATGACCCCAGTTCCATTTATTTCTAGTAGAAACATCTCTTTGGCAGGGAAAATGCCCTTCCCATTTTCCTGCGTGTGTGTGTGTGCGTGTTTGTGCGTGTGTGTGTGTGTGTGTGTGCTGTATGAATGCATGTGAGCATGTATATGTTTTATCCCATTACTCCAGATCTCTTTCCTTAATTTTTTTTTTGCCAAAGCAGATAACCATTTATCTTCGAAATTTATTGTCATTCTCCCCCTTCCTACTCCACTCTCTCTACCAACTAGAATACCCTGAAATAAAACTTACTTCCTGACCCCAACTAGAATACCCTGAAATAAAACTCACTTCCTGACCAATGCGTAATATCACTTTGCAAACCAATATTAGAGGAGTGGTGATCAATTTTACATCCAAGTTTGAGTCCACCTGCCCGAACCGTGCTTTTGTATTCTCCTTAGGCTTCTACTACCTTGCCCCAAATTGTGCTGCTGCAAAGGTTTCGTTTCTTTTAGTATCAACACTATTGGGAAACCAGAGGAGATTTCGTGTCCCAGGGACTCTGTGCTGCAACACATAGGAATGAATGGACGGAAAGGGCAGAAAGGGCAAGAAATACATGAAGGAAGCGAAGAAGAGTTTTTATGGTTGTTGTTTCAGATCAATATTCAGATAATACTGATCATTATCTGGTGGTCTAAAAAATAAAATATATATATAGTTTTGAGTGCCTACCAGTCATTTTGTTCAAGAAATACATACTGAATGTCCATGTATTGTACTGCCTGTCCCTGTGCTGGATACTTTAACATATTTTATTCAGTTCCCAATACAATCTCCCTAGGAGGAGACCAACTTGTACATTCTCCTTCCCAGAAAACCGAAACTGGCTCTGGAGCCAGAGATTATATGTTGAATCTAATCTTTGCCTCTAGCCGAGTGACTCCGGGCAGATCCTTTAACCTCTCTGAGCCTCTGTTTCCTCCTTCAGAAAATGAAAATAATTTCATCTGCTTCACTGAGTTGTTCTGAGGATGAAATAAACTAATGTGCCCAACAAGATCAATCATGGAAAAGACTGAGTTACTCAGATTTGGGGAAGTGTAACAATGCTGAACTATTCTGTGATTGTTTTTTTGGAACAGGAGGCCAAACCACACCCCTGTGGTAGGGTGAGGCTTCCTGTGAAGGGAATTGAATTTTCCACTGTCAATCATCCTGAGAAAAAGTTAGCTCTCAGAAGCTGTGTTCAGGACTTGGGGAGAAGGATGGCAGGATACATAGGCTTCTAAGGGGTGGAGAGATCTAGGGTACATCCTGGGAGTGAGGTGGGGAGTAGGGACACCCCTGTCAGTTGGAGGCCGGCTCAGGGCTATGCACGCGTAGCCAGCCCAATCCCAAAACCTAGGATAGGTGTGGGCTTGTGTCGCAATCAGAAGGACCGGGGCCACTCAGAATGTGCACAGGAGAGTAGCATCCTCATCGCTGCAGCCAGAAGAGGGTAGGACCCTGGGAAACCAGTCAGGCTCTCAAGCAAGCGAAGGCCAAGCCTCCAAGTTCTGGTGTGAGCAGGTGCAGCAGCAGCAACGGCCAGTGTCAAGTGGAGAAGGGCAGGCGTGGAGCAGTTATCATGGTGTTCACTGGCCTCAATATGGTGTTTCTGAATCCCATCTCCCCTGACAAGGCTAGAGCAGCCAGAACTGACTCTGTGCATGCAAATAAGCACCATCTAAGGATTTCTGGACATACAACTGGAGGGTAGCCTTTAAAAAGACTTCATTTCTTAGTAAGATGGGCAGGCAAATGCTTGGAAATTGTTATATTTGGGGGTATCATGACCCAAGCCAGTAAGCTGCGTACAATGGTTACATGTATAAGGTGCCTGACACAGTAGGTGAATTCAGCCTGGTTCCTTTCTCCTTATTCATCCCCATATAAATGGGAGGGAGGAAACTTTGCATGCAAGGTACATTTGTCTTAGAACAGATTTGTTCAAAAGTCTTGAATCTCGACCCATCCTTCTGAAACGGGGTAGGGAAGAGGAGGTAAGTGACAGTATTATTTAACTTATATGCCGAATCTTTCAGAAAGCTTTAACCATACTTGAAGGTATCAGAGCACTTGTCTAAGGACAGAAAGACATTTAATGGTACTACAATTGGGCATTTCTCATATAATGCATTTAATCCTCACCACCATGGGCTGTGGTCAGTACTATTATTATCCCCATTGTACCAGTCAGGGTCCTATCAGGAAATAGATGGTATATGCAAAAGGAGTGACTGAAGACAGTCTAATGAAGCAACTATTTACAAAAGGGTTAAAGGAAAACAGCAAATGATGATGAGGCACCCTGGGGCTAGTCACCATGAGGAGCTGCTACCATTCCTATGATGGTTAGTTTTAGGTGTCAACCTGACTGAATTCAGGGATACCTAGAGAGATGATGATGCATTATTTCTGGGTGTGTCTGTGAGGGTGTTTCCAGAAGAGGCTGGCATTTGAGTAGGTAGACTGAGTGGGGAAGATCTGCCTTCAATGTGGATAGGCACCATCCAATTGGCTGGGGGCCTGGATGGAACCAAAAGGGCTGAAGAGAGGCAAATCCTTACTGTCTTTTCAAGAGCTGGGACACTCTTCTTCTGCCCTTGGACACCAGAACTCCAGGTTGTTTGGCTTTTGAACTCCAGTACTCGCACCAGAGGTTACCCAGGCTCTCAGGCCTTTGGCCTTGGACTGAGAGTTACATTATCACATTCCATGGTTCTGAGGATTTCAGACTTCGACTGAGCCTCACCAGGGCTTCCATGGTTCCCCAGCTTGCAGACAGCTTGTCACAGGACTTCTCGTCCTCCATAATCACAACAGCATATTCCCCTGATAAATTCCCTCTCACTCAACTATACCTATATATATATCCTATTGATTCTGTCTCTCTAGAGAACCCTAACACAACCCATAAACTGGAAGGGGAAGTTATCAGAATCCAGCAAGACAGGATGCTATAAGAGTGGGCCATTCTATAGGATCTGCAGCCTTCAGTAGAATCACACAGCCATATTATCCCACAGCCTGATGGGAATGAAGTAGGTACACTGGGTTCTCTTTCTCACCATACTCCTGTATCCTGCCAGTGCCTCTTATTGGTCAAATCTGACAGGAATCCACGTGATGCATTCCAAAAGGTAAGTGTTTCAGGGCACAGAGAAGATTGATAAAGGATGGTAAGTGGGTCCGGAAAAGCATCAGAAAATAGTACATGATTTTAAAGTTCAGGAAAAGAAGATACAGATTAAGTAACTTGTCTATGGTCATAAAGCAAGTAAGAGGTGGAGCTAAAATTCACCACTCAGTACGGCTTGATACCCATGCTCTTAACCACTAAGATGTGCTTCCTATAACTTGTTAGGAAGTTTGCTTAGTCATCCAGCACCTCTTTCTCCCTGTACCCTACCCAGCTATTCTCTGATAATAGATTCCATCCTATCCCCACACAATTTTCCCAGTTTTCTTGGAACTGTGGGTAGCCATGTGACTAAAGTTCAGGCCAATGGAATATAAGTGAACACCATTAGATGTGTGCAGCTTTCAGGTTGTGCCCACCACTTTCCTTCTCCCTTGTCTACGGACTAGAATGTGGATGTGATAGTAGAAGCTGAAACAGTCACCTTGAACTACTGCATGGAAATCACATTTGAGGATACAGTTTACCCTGAAGCCACAGATTAGCACCGGACTGCTCATGCTCTAAGTGAAAAAGAAGTAAGCTTACATATTGTGTAAGTAACTGTCATTTTGGCCTTTGTTATAGCAGCCCAACCTATATCCTAAATAATACCAAGACCAGGCACCCATATGGCCCTAATGAGGCTCAGTCATAATGATTTGAGCAATAAGAGAAATATGACTGGTAGAGTCAACTAGTGGTCACCAATGTGTGTGTTCTCCTCTTTTTCCTGGCATATAACTAGACTACATTTTCCACCCCACCCCATTCCATCTGGGTGAGGCTGTGGGACTAGTTCTTACCCTTGAAAAATGAGGGGAAGTGAGTATTTTGCCTCCAGGCTGAGGCAATCAAGGGTGAACATTCTTTGTTGCTCACCTGATTCACTTACCTGACAAATGGATACAAAGCATCAGTGAAAGAATCTGAGCCCCTAGAAGATGGCGAAGCCAGGAAATAGAAGCAGCCGAGGTCCTCAACGACACATGAAGCACAGCCCTCTGACAACTCCACACTGGACCACTGCACAAGCAAGAAATGCAGTCTTCCTTGTGTTAAGCCACTGACACTGGGGTTTAGTGTATCCTGACTAAGGCATAAACACCACGATTCAGAGCTGCAATCTCATCCCATATTTTTGGAGTACAAGGGGGTAAGAGGAGACTGGGAAATATTTAAGTCACTATTTTAAAGAAGTTATACAAATGTCATCATTTGTCCTAATAAGATCCAGCATACATCCTGCCTGAATGAGGAAGGCCAGAATAGCACAAGAAAACACTTTCTCCTTGCATACTGGCCCTCAGGGCAGTTAGCCCTGGTGGCTCCCAAGAATGCTGTTCTCATGACACACTCCTCTCCTGGCACTCATAGGCCAGTTCACCAGGTCTGAGCAGAGACAGCAGCAATTGAGCTTGAGGCATGCCAGAGGGTCAAGCAATCCCAAAGGGCAACAAATTATGAAAGGTTAAGAAAACAAGGAACCAGTTTGCTTGTGGGTGGTGAGAGTGAGCTCCCCCACCTCTTTTTTCTAATGTCCAGATTTTCTAAAATAAGCACATATTACTTTTATACTAGAAAACTTAAGTTTAAAAATTGGACTTTTAAAACTTCAATTTTTAAGAAAGATTAAAAAATAAGCTGGATAAGCCCCCGGAATAAACACAGGAGATATAGGTCACAGGAGAAAGGATCCAGTCCTCAAGGCACTGTTACAACAAGCAGAAAGGCCAGTCTTAGAGATATACAACTGAAAAGATAAAGTGTCTCAGCGGTGACACCCTCCCTCCGTCATTCAACAAATATTTACTGAAGATTAACTTGCGCTGGGCACTGTGCTGGCTGCTAGATTGACAGAGAAGAATAAGGTGGCCACAGTGTAGCGCAGTTGTTCACAATCTTAGCAGCATATTGAAATCACTTGAGATGTGATTAAAACCAACCAAACAAAAAACACAATAACATTGATGCTTAGGTCCACATCCCAGAGATTCAGATGTAATCATTCAGGATTGGGAACTGGTCTCAGGACTTCTAAAAGCTCCTCCTGATTCTAATGTGCAGCCAAAATTGAAAACCATCAGGAGGACCTGACACATGGGATTAGTGTTGATGGCTGGATAGGAGTAAGCCAGGGGAGAATGGGAGAAGGGGGAGGAGAAGCATGCTGGTGGGGGAAACCAAGCCGAATATAGAGGGTCCCACCATAGTTCCATAAAACTAGAATGTCATAGTGGGTGTGAGTGATGCAGGTTATGGTGTTCCTCCTATGTCAAACCAAATATCTATCCTCCAGGTAGAAGACAGTCAGTCAAGGCTATTCACAGGGCAGACATGGTCACATCTGGGTTCATCCCAACTCTCCACACATTCTTTCTAACCCTCTCAGATTGGCCGTAACTTCTAGCTATGGATGGAACTACAGAAAGGCTATGGAAAGGTGTGGGCTTTGCCTCCTCAGAAAATGGTACCACCATCTCAAGAAAGAAAGCATATTTCTTCACACTCCATCATGGCCACTTTCAATACAGCATTCATCCAGAGATACACCCCTTTCTCTACTGCCTTTTAAAAAATCCCCTTTTTGGTGTCTTAATTTTATTACACGATCTTGCTGCAACACTGAGAATCAATCCCCCAAGGAGCCAATATTTATTCATTTACAGACTGATAAAAAATTCAGAGGTAGAATGGACTACCAATCACAAGGCAAAAAAGTAGCGGAACTACCACCAGAACCTCAGATGGAAAACCGTTCCACATGCCGCTCCAGGGACACATCACTAAATAATTCCACTGACCTAATCACCACTCCTGACTACCTCTTTTTGGAGACTAGGTAAGTTGTAGAGAAGTTTCCAGAAACAAAAATGGTTTGATTAGTAGGCGGGATAACTGATAAAAGCTATTTCATCCTTCAATCTTGGGAAATAAGTATGTTTTAAATGAATAATAATAATCAAACAATAGGCCGGGCACGGTGGCTCAAGCCTGTAATCCCAGCACTTTGGAAGGCCGAGACGGGCGAATCACAAGGTCAGGAGATCGAGACCATCCTGGCTAACACAGTGAAACCCCATCTCTACTAAAAAATACAAAAAAAAAAAAACAAACTAGCCGGGCGAGTTCGTGGGCGCCTGTAGTCCCAGCTACTCGGGAGGCTGAGGCAGGAGAATGGCGTAAACCCGGGAGGCGGAGCTTGCAGTGAGCCGAGATCCGGCCACTGCACTCCAGCCTGGGTGACAGAGCAAGACTCCGTCTCAAAAAAAAAATTAAAAAAAAATAATAATAATCAAACAATAAAATAAAAGCACTTCCTGAATTCCAAGCACATTCAATATATGGACTTTACATACACCATTTACCGTATGCACACAAGGTCCCAACTGAGTTGATTAAATAACTGAGGCTTGAAGCAGTTTAATCACCTGCCCAACGTCACAAGAAACTGCAAGATAATTCAAACTAAAATTTTAGGACTTCTGTGATGATACAATATAATAAAAAATATACATATATTTGGTTTTCATCTCTGGTTCTCAGCACAGAGCTCCTAAAACCCTCGCAATTTCCTGAGTGATAGAGGTGACAGGAGCATCTTTTTTTTATTCATAACAAGTACCTTTTAACCACACCTGAGTTTATGCTAATGAGATAACTGGTGACTGAAAGCCCTTAGACAGCTTCAGGATGGAGGCTCGTTGTGGGAAGAACCAACCATATTATTAAAAGGTTGGAATTCGATGAGAACACTTGGACACAGGGCAGGGAACATCACACAACGGGGCCTGCCATGGGGTTGCGGAATGGGGGAGTGATAGCATTAGGAGAAATACCTAATGTAAATAACAAGTTAACGGGTGCAGCAAACCAACATGGCACATGTATACCTATGTAACAAACCTGCACGTTGTGCACATGTACCCTAGAAATTAAAGTACAATAATAATAATAATAATAATAATAATAAAAGTTTGCTAGCAGGTCAAGGAAAACAAAGATCAAGAGCCAAGGAAAGCATTCCCTGGAATAAAGATAATAAATTTCAACAAATCAACACTAAAAGTAACTTTATAATATTGATTTAAAAAACTGTATTTCTTCAATTCTAAAGTGTCATCTTTTCACATTTTAATATCATAGATATAATAGCTAGCATTCATCTTGCACTCACTTTGTACCAGGCTCTGTCACAGGCACTTTACATGTGCTGACTCACAGAATATTGTGTATTTCATCTTGCACTTACTTTGTACCAGGTTCTGTTATGTGTGCTTTACATGTGCCTACTCACAGAACATGGGATATTTCATGGAGTGAAAAATTTCATCTTCTGCTCTCTGAAAAGTTGTTAGTAAACCAATGTTACAAACTTAAACTCCATGACTGTTTAGAATCCAGGAACCATTGTAGGTGCAGAAATAAATAGTGCTTACAGATATACATTAAAAAAAAGTTACATTGAGGGAAAAAAAAAAAAGGTTGGAATTTCAAGCCCCACCCACCTACTCTCCCCACTTCCCCACCCCCTTTCCCTGCACCCTGCCACACATACACCTGACCTCTGGGGAGGAGAAAGGGACTGGGGATTGACTTAATCACCAATGGCCAATGATTCAATCAATCATGCCTAATGGAACATCCGTAAAAACCCTAAATGAGGGGGTATGGAGAGTTTCTGAGTTAGTGAACCTATCCATGTGCCAGGAGGGTGGTGCACCCCAATTCTAAAAGGACAGAAGCTCCTGTGCTTTGGACCCTTCCAGACTTCACCCTTTGCATCTCCTCATCCAGCTGTTCATTTATATCCTTTATAATAACCTGGTAAACATAAGTATAGTGCTTCCTTGAGTTCTCTCAGCTATTAAAGTAAATTATAGAAACCAAAAGAAGGTTGTAGGAAGCCCTGATTTGTAGCCAAGTTAGACATAAGTGTGGGTAATACGTGGGCTCACCACTTACAGTTGATATCTGAAGTGGTAGGTGGTCTCGCAGGACTGAGCCCTTAACCTATAGGGCCTGTGCTAACTCTGGGTAGTGGTAAAATTTAATTAAATTGTAGGACATCTGGTTGGTGGCTGCAAAATACTGAAGAATTACTTGGTGTAGAAAATCCACACATTGGGCTTCAGAAGTATTGTGAGTACAGGCCAGGCACAGTGGCTCACGCCTGTAATCCCAGCACTTTGGGAGGCCGACAGAGCGGGGGGCAGATCACCTGAGGTCAGCAGTTCCAGACCAGCCTGGCTAACATGGCAAAACCCCGTCTCTACTAAATTTCCAAAAATTATCTGGGCATGGTGGCGGGCACCTGTAATCCCAGCTACTCAGGAGGCTGAGGCAGGAGAATAGATTGAACCCTGGAGATGGAGGTTGCAGTGAGCTGAGATCATGCCACTGCACTCCCACCTGGGTGACAGAGCGAGACTCTGTCACAAAAACAAAAAGAAGTGAGTAGAGAAACAATTTTATTTTAACTTTGCTCTGCCTCTTCTTATATTCTGGCCAGGAGTGAACCTGTACTCATCTGTGCTCCAGAAAGAATGGCTGCTTGACAAGCTCATCAACTGCTGTAAGAGGCATTTTTCCTGCTGTGTGTCTAAGAAAAGCACCAAAAAGCCATCATGACTCTTTCCAAGGGAGAAATGACAGCTCTGTCTTTGACCTGAATAGCATGAAAACAAGGCAGTCTGATTCAGACAGCTGCTCTGTCATGGAGAGAATAACCCTTGGGGACACCATGTACCCAAACAGCATGGCACATGAATATAAACAATGAATACCCAATGGCCATAGGCCTCCTTTGGCTTACAGCCCCTCACAGCACTTTAAGAGGCAAGAATAGAACTGGAAGATACCTCAGGGATCACCAGGCACAACCCCTGCTTTTTGCAGATAAGGAAACTGAGGCTAGTTAACATGTCTATTAAAGAAGCTGGAGCAGGGTGAAAGCTAGAACCTTGATCTCAAACTCTCAGACTTCTGTTTTATTTTCTCTATCACCCTGCAAGCCCAGAACCCAGAAGGGAACCCCACGGTTCTCATCGTGCTGCTAAAGACTGAATATTTATATCCCTCAAAATTCATGTGTTGAAACCTAATCCTCATTATGATGGTATTTGGAGGTGAGGCCTTTGGGAAGTGATTAGGTCATAAGGGTGGAGCTCTCACCGGAGGGATTAGTGCCCTTAGAAAAGAGACAGCTAAGAGCTCCCTGGCCCTCTTCTGCCATGTTGAGGACACAGTGAGAAGACAGCCATCTATGAACCAGGAAGCCAACCCTCACCAGACACTGAACCTGCCAGTTTCTTGGTCATGGAATTCCCAGCCTCCAGAACTTGTGAGAAATATATTTCTGTTGTTTACAAACTACCCAATCTGTTTTTGATATAACAACCCAAATGGACTAAGACACACACTCCAATCTCCTCATGAGAAACTGGGTTTTTACCATAGGGGAGCTGAAGAGAAAAAAACATTGCTTTTTATTTTCTACTGCTAATTTGAAAGGATACCCATATTTGTCAGTGCCTCATGGGAGCAGTTCAGTCTGTAAGTCCCAGAGGGAGATACGGAGATGAAAAAGGGTCAAATACCTGGGCCTTCCTGCAGCACAAATCATTCTGTGAATGCAAACAATTTAGTAGTAATATAGTCGGATTTCTCAGAGCAAGCAATGCTCATCCTACCACTGCTTATGTTTGTGTACGATTTAAGAGGACCAAATGGCTTCGTCGCACTGTGGAGTGTCAATGCTGGTGTCATTAACATACAATTATACATGCGTGGAGCAGATCATCAAGTACCTGCCCTCTTAATAAATCACATCATGCAAAGCTATGGCTTAGATGTCACTTTCATTTCATAAAATGATTCACCACAGTATGTCTTAAAAGCTAGTTTTGCTCATGCATTTAGTTTACGATTCCATTGATAGAGATGTGATTGCCTCGCAACTTGTCAGAAACACATCCTCTGAATAAAACATGGTACTCCTCCCTGCCACAGAATGCCAACCTTGATCCAGATCTATTTTGGGCGCTTGGCTCCTAAAAATGAATGAAAGTCGTTGTTGAGGTGGAATTTTGCTTCAGGTCCTGTGGGACTTGATGAGGACATTCTTCCCAGCACAAGAGGCTGACCAGGGACAGGGTGCCACAGTTGAGCGTGTTACTGAGGATAAACATATTTAAACCACTGTTTGTGGACAGTTCCCCTCCTCCTTTACTGTCAACATATATCATAAAATAAATCCTTTCATTTCATCTTAGGAAGGCAAGATATTCAGGCTAGTGATGAAAGAACAGTAAGGAGAGACCTGATAGCCCAGACCAGTAGCAGCTAAACTAACCTTGAAAGCAGAAGGAAAAAAAAAAAAAAAAGAGAGAGAGAAGAACCCAACCACTAAGCCACCGAGTAAGAATGGGTGGCGGGAAGAGTTAGATCTGCCCATTCGCATTTCTTTCTCTTCATTCTCTCTTCAGCCTGTCTCTTGACAAGAGTGTCCCGGTTCACCCATCACAAATCTCCACTTACCATGACAGGCATGAGGATGGAATGTCCTATCTCGAGACACCTACAGGCTAACTGAGGAATAGAAATCAGGGAAGGAAGCAGGTCTTATAGTTTAATAATTACACCGCCGTTTTCAGCCCCTGACTTCATTAAATTCAGGGTAAGGACGACCCACACGACGTCCTTCTCGTGCCAGGTACTTGGCAAGACAGAACCAGTCGCCGCTGTGTTCTTCCGGCAAGATGAGTGCAGGTTACAGAAGCCCCAGGTCTGGAAGTTTGCTGTGCCAGGCTCCTCGGAGCAGCATCACTAACCCAGACGGGGACACACACACGCACACAGACACACACACACACGCGCGCACACAGATACACGCACACGCGCGCGCGTGAACACACACACACACACTCACGGCTAATTGGCCACTTGCCCCGCCACCCCGAAAGCACAGCGCCAAGGAAAGGCCAGTTCCCGCCGCGAAGGCAGCAGGTGTGCCCTGACCCTTTTCCTCCGTCCCCCAACCCCACCCCCATCTCTAGCTGAGTTCATCTGGACGCCCCCCAAACTCGCAGTTCTCGGGCAGAATTGCGACCAAGAAATAAAAGACAAAAGGAGCACACTTACCTAACTCGTCTGGGCTGTACGATGCGGGCGAGGCTTCCACAAACTCACTGTCTGAGGGAGAAGAAAAGCAGAAAACAACTCGAATCGCTACCATCCAGGGCGAACCCACTAAGTATCAGCTCAAGCGCAGGTCCCCGGGAAAAGCGCGGGCTTCTCCTTCCCAGCGCTCAGAATCCGTGAGCCGTAGGCCCCGCGGGATTCGGACCGCTGGATCCCCAGGGAGTGAGAAATCGCCGCAGAAACTTGGGGGGCAACTCGGCCCGGGCACCGCGCGGCTTCCAGGCGAGGTCAGGCGCGCGCCAACTTTCCCCGCGTGCCACCCCGCGGCTCCCCGGGCCGGGTGCTGGGCCGCGGCGGCATCCTCTGCCCTCAGCCCGGGGGGCGCATTGCTCTGTCTGCCGGGCCTGGCGCCGACGCCCCAGCGCGGAAGAGCGGCAAAGTTTTCTCGCGGTCCCGGGGGCTCGAGGGCGCGCAGCGGCGGCGGCGAGCACCCCTCGCCCACCCAGGCGCCCAGCGCATCCCCGCTCGTTGCTAGGCGACCGTGGCCGTCACGCTCCGCAGCGGCGTGCGCGGCCTCCCAACTCCCGGCTGACGGAATCCTCCCTAGTCCCCGCCCAGTTTGCCCATTTTCCAAAAAATCAGAGCATAACCCGTTCTAACCCGATTCTCTGCTCTGTTATGTTATGTCTGCCCTCCTCTGATGCTTGGGAAATCGTTTGTTCTGTGGCTTCTCCTGAGGAGATGGAGGATTTTCAGAGCTTGCAGAAAGGTAGGAGGGGCCCCAAATGCCCTCCAATCCCCTCCTGTTGGAACCAGAATTCCAACTCCAGTCCAACATTATTTCCTACTCTTCAAGAGATCACCTGGCTCAAGTGGGCAAAGTAATGTGAGCTCCATTGCAGAGGTAGGGAAATCGAGTCTGAGAAGTTGTTAATTTATGCGTGACATCATTATGATAGGGGTATGTAAGGGAGAAGGCGGGGAGGAGAGAAGAGCAGCGCTCCTTCTACTCTGTAAAAGATTGACTGCTTTCAGATACAGAACGTAAAAGCAGTAGTTATGCTCTGAGAGCTGTAAATTCTGAAGTAATTAATGTAACACTGTGAGAACCTCCCTCTCTGAGTCAGTGGCCTGATAACTTGGACAGATGTGTTATGTATCTCCCCCCAGTCCCCAGGCCTGACTGTGACTGCTCTGCATTAAGGGGGCAAAGGTGCTGGACTTGGGATGTGCTCCAGAGAGAGCCCTGCAGCTGATGACCCATAACGGGGTCAGTGGGAAGGAAGAAGCAAGTATGGAAATGTCCTTTCTCCATCCTTGGAGGACTATTGGAGGGTCAACAGTCTGAGCAGCCTCCTGGGGGCCTTCTATGGACTCAAAGTGATCAGAGCACCAGCTGCAGCAGCCTAAGGGCCCCGATCTGAGCCAGTGTGCTCTCATCCTGTAAACACTCAGCCATCCCAGGCTTTTCCACTGTCAGTTTTTGGTTTACAAATCACCATGAAGGACAGAAAGCCCCTTCAGCCAGCATTGCTCACCGAGCCCAGGGAAGCAGGGGCGGGGCTGTCCTTCCCCAGCAAAGCAGCATGCTTGAGCTGCTGAGCCTCTCTCTCTAACCTCTTCTTTTTCCTGCTTCTTGTAATCTGAGCTCCCAAATCCAGGAATTAAATATGTTTGGGTGAAGGTTTGCACTCATCACTCCATCCCCTCCCACCTCCTAGAATCCTCCCATTTGTCCTCTGGAACTCATGGTTCATTACTAGCAAAATCTATATGTCCTCAGCCTCCTCTCTGAATGTTTCTTTCAGTGACTTGCTCTGACCCATACCTGGCTTTCCTTGAAAATAACAGGCTGCATTACTTGCCTCCTCTACTTATTTCAGCCATCTCTGCATCCTCTGGTTGTTCCACCTCATTTCTTGAAGATAATGGCATCTGATTCACTGTCCCTTTTCCCAGTATCATTCCTGTGATTATTCTTATTTTTCTCCATCTACATAGTCACACTCTAATCTCTCAACTCTTCTGCATCCTATCCCTTTCTTGACCTGCTGCAACCACACCAGCCCCCTGCTGTCATGGCGACACTATGCATAATATCAATGTGAAGCAATCCACTCTCCTACCTTTCCAGCTCATCCCCTCTGTTATTTTAATCCAATGTGTCCTTGACCCCACCAGCATCTATAATTTACTTATCCATGACCTTTTCTCTGCCCCTCACTCTCCTCATGACCCTCCTTCCTTCCTTATGGACTTTAGTTTCCAGTTTCATTATTATTTCTGTCTTACTTACACCTTCAAATCCATGTTCTGCTCTCTTTCCGTGCTATTTATCTGGTAAAATCACAACCCTAGTAAAATATAACTCCACCTTCTTCCCATCTACACCCAGCTAAACATGACTGAAGAAGCACAAAATTGGCTGGGTGTGGTGGCTCACGTCTGTATTCCCAGCACTTTGGGAGGCCGAGGTGGTCAGATCACCTGAGGTCAGGAGTTTGAGACCAGTCTGGCCAACATGGCGAAAACCCATGTCTACTAAAAATACAAAAATTAGCCAAGCATGGTGGCGCATGCCTGTAATCCCAGCTACTCAGTAGGCTGAGGCAGGAGAATCGCTTGAACCCAGGAGGCAGAGGTTGCAGTGAGCTGAGATCACGCCATTGCAGTCCAGCCTGGGTGACAGAGCAAGACTCCGTCTCAAAAAAAAAAAAACCCACAAAATTATGCTGTCTGGTCTTATTTTCAATTCATGACCACTAAAATCAAACGGAGCTAGTGCAGCCCAGCAACCACTCTGCATTTGCCTGTTTATTTACCCTCCTGCTCTCCTGTTGCTATGGATGAATCATCTAAGGCCATTATGGCCTCCAGTATGAATCAGATCCCATTCATGTGGCTTTTCCCTCTTCCCACCTGGATTAGTATTTTCTTCTGTCCTTGATCACTCCCATCAGTATACAGACATACTACTATGATCTTGTCTTTTTAAAAATCCTTTCTTGACTCTACATATCTCCAGCCATTACTCCAATTCTCAGCTCCCCTTTACAACAGAATTCATTAAAATAATTATCTACAGTGATAGCACCCATTCTTCATTTTGCTCTTACAAGCAGCTTAAACAGGTTTCTACCTCACTCTGCCAGAGTAGCTCTTGTCAAGGTCAAGAATGGCTTTGCCATTGCCAATTCCAGTGATCAGTCCTAGGTCCTAACAGCAGGTTTTGACCTGCTGATCTTATGAGTGGATGGGCTCAGATGGGCTGTCTGCAGAATCAGTCTCCTCTGGTTTCCCATAGAATCAAGAAGCAAATAACATTTGTGTCTCAAGAGAGGTGGCCTATAGAGGGCCTTGGGATCAGCCAGACCTGGGTTCTGATACCAGTTCCAATACTCACTAGTAACTTCATTTCTTTCAGTCTTAGCTTTGTGTAAACATGGAGATAATAATCATAGCTAGCATACCAATGTGGTGAGAGTGCAATAAACTAATGCACTTGGAGCCCCTAGGAGAGAGAGTGTCATACTGTAAAAGTCAAATAAATGTTAGTTGATATTGGATGCCATGCTCCTTTACAGCTGACACAAATGGACTCTTTTTATCCCTTAACAATTTAGAGTTGCTGAAAGAAGATACTAACCGCAGAGTATGTTTACATTGGGGGAATAGTTCATTGTCTCCAACTTTTAGTTTGCGTTCCAAGAATTGGCTTGAAAGTTGGTTACTTGGAGCTGGCAATAGGTTTACCCCTATGAAGATGTTGCCAGTGCTCCACAGGGTGGTTAGGTTCCGGAGCCTGCCAAACTGTTCTCACAATGGACTTGCCTTCAATTTGTTCACATTAATGGATGACTTGTAAACTAGGAACTATCCTTACAGCACCTTAGTTATTTGAATTTCCTAATCAACTGAGTGTTAATGAGAAGACATTTCTCTTGTTTCAGTATTTGTTGTTGAAAATTCTCTAAAGTAAATGACTCCAATTTTCTATCTTAGGAAGTAGAACAGAGCCAACAATAATGTTTCATATTAATAAAACAAACTTTTATTGGGAATTTACCATGCTTCCAGCGCTGTGCTAGGCACTGCAGACACAAAGGTGATCAGTGCCCTTCTAATAAGGGATTCCATGACAGACCTTATTGAATCTCAGGGCAATGTCCAAAGTGCCTACCCACACTTGAGTTTTATAGGTCTCTTATAAAGAACTGGTTCTGCCGGCGTGTCACTGAGTTATAATGAACAGTGCACTAGTTTACAGATTTGTATCTCAGCTCTGTGAATTATTGGGTGGGGGGCATTTTCATTTCCTAACAATAATACACACCTCACTGGATTGTTAGGAGCAGCAAAATAGGTAAGGTATGAGACAGACAAGGCACAGTGTCTAGCACACAGTGGGTACATAATAAATATTCATTTTCTGGCTGGGTAAGGTGGCTCATGCCTGTAATCACACTTTGGGAGGCAGAGGCAGGCGGATCACCTGAGGTCAGGAGTTCAAGAGCAGCTTGGCCAACATGGTCAAACTCCATCTCCACTAAAAATGCAAAAATTAGCTGGGTGTGGTGCAGGCGCCTGTAATCCCAGCTATTCAGGAGGCTGAAGCAGGAGAATGGCTTGAACCTGGGATGCAGAGGTTGCAGTGAGCCAAGATCGTGCCACTGCACTCTAGCCTGGGTGACAGAGCTAGATTTCGTCTCAAAATACATACATAAATAAATATATATTTATTTTCTTCCCTCATAGAGGGCTAGAGCATGCCTGACTGCTCTCCTTTTCATCCCAGGTGACAGGTGGGCCTTCTGCTGCCATGGCCCCAGCAGACAGCAAGAGGGAGTCCCTGCCTCTGTTTCTAGGGAAGCATATTTATTAGAGGTAGGACATGTGGGGAGGAAATGACAAGGTGGAAATATTTCTGGGGCTCAAGAGGAAGTTTACCATAGAAACAGATTATACAGGGGCCTGGTGTCTATTGGTCACTGTTACTATTGCCATGATATATCATGAATTGAATGGGCTTCTGGGAGCTGGCCTGGGAACCCAATTCCTAACTCTAATGTTCTTTCTTTCCTTATATTATTGTAAATGTTTTAACTTTATTTTTACAATATAAACAAAATGTGTTTACTGTAAAGGAAAGAACATTTGGTATAGATGAGTATAAACTGAAAAATAAAAGTCTGCTTTCCTGTCCTCTCATAATCTCCATCTGCAAACTAAAAACCATCCACAACTTCTTATGTGTCCTAGTAGGAGTTTTTAAAGGCATATTCAAATGCGTATACGAATTGTTTAAACAAGTTGGATACTATTATTATGGATTCCAAATTAAAGGCAAAAATTTCTAAATGAAATTTTTCTCCACTCCCAAACATAAGCTGGGGTATGACTCTTTTCTGTTTAGGAAGGCAAGAAAGTATTAAAAAGTCATAGAAGAAAAGTCTTATCAACCATTAGAAAACAGTAAAATCTTAAACAAAATTCAAGTGTTTAAAGGGTAACATAATACTTCAGTTATCAGGAAAACTCAATCATCTCCCTCGTTCCTCAGTAAATGAGGTATGGTTATATAGTAACATTGGACATAACGCCAGGATCAAAGGTAATCTTAGCTGCATTTCTAGAGCTAAGAGCACACTCTACATACTTTTTTGGGGTACAATGCCCATCACAGATATTCTGCTTATTGTGCAGGGACTCCAGCTGTGAGCCAGGAACCTGCCCTGTAGCAGTCTGGGAATGCCATCAAGCCCCTGCACA